AAGCAGGATTTGATCGTGTGCAACAGCGATAATCTAAGCCGCTCCTTCCAGCACGTTCCTGCGGAGTACTACGACAGTGTGGCAGCTCGCGAGATGCAGATGGTCTTCCGTCACCGTGCGGGCGGTCGTGGTGTTTTCATGTCCTCCTCCAATGTGAAGCCCTTGGGCAGACCGCCCCTCCAACCGCCACCCTATTGGAAAGACAAAGGTTGTATCAATGGAGAAGTAGGTCAGAAGCTTATTCCAGGAACAGCTGATGAACTTGCATGGATGCAGGAGATCTTGGACAACACTTTCAAGAACAAGGTCACCAGAGATCGCAAGGATGGACAACCCCTAGCAGATCGCTTTGTAGCTGTGCAATGTATTCGAAGCGAACACCCTCAGCTTTGGGATCGCTATGCCGAACGTCGAAAGGTCGTGTCCGAGTCGTGCCGCTCAGCAGAATCAAACTTTGTAATTCCTAAGACGATGACGGCTAGCCACAGCCTGGCACAAAGGTGTACACATGCTTCGGTTGGCAATCCAGCAAACCAGGCATACTTGCTACATGGCACCAACCCAACCTCGGCAGTGGCAATTCTCAGCAACTCGTTCACCGTTGACTTTGCCGGCAAGAGTGCGGGCACAATGTTTGGACCAGGTATCTACCTAGCAGAAAGCTCGACCAAAGCCGACGAGTATGCTCGGGACGATGCAGGTGGTGAATATGATGGCCTCTATGCCGTCCTGGTGTGTAGGGCCTTGCTGGGTCGGTCCTATGTCACTGAGCAGCCTGGTGACTTCCGCGATCCAGTGCTCAATGGTGAGTTCGACCACGTGCTGGGAGACAGAGAGAAGGCAGTTGGTACTTTCCGTGAGTTCATTTTCTTCCATGATGCCTCCATCTATCCCGAGTACGCTGTCTTCTACCGGAGAGAGAAGGATGGTAGGATCATGCCCCGGCCAGAGCGCGAAACCGCGCCGCCGGTCATGGAAATGGCTGAAGAGTGAGCGCCAGTATGGTAAAGCCATTTGGTGCAGGCACTTGAAACTTGAAACATCTTGAAACTGAATCTTTCGCTTGGCTACCCCAACTGTTCCTTGATATTATATTATTATATGTGACATCATATTGCAGGAGTATGTGGTAGAAGCATGAGCAACATATAGCAACATTCTCCAACAGTAAAGTAAAAGTTGTTCAACAGGCTTCTGTCCACGTGCTTGGGGCTGCCACAATAATTGCAAACAACATGCGAATGGATCGCATACAGCCGCAATATGTATACCGCCAACATGTTCCCCATTTGCAGGCCCATTGGCAGACTAATGCAGACTATGTTTGAGCCATCCCCACATGTTTTCAGCCCATCTTCCAACAATTTTGCAGGCGGCCGCTTCAAGACGAGACAGAAGTGAGGTGGCAAAAGTATGCAAAAGAGTCCTGCAGGTAAGGGCAGCTGATGTCCACACACAGCCAAATCACTAAAGCACCTTTGGTTTGGCATTGTTTGACTGACTGTCGGAACAGGGAAGCTACCTCATGACATGCAGTGCAGCGTGACGTAGTGACATAGTGCAACACATCTTGCCTCATCAATTCGTATCAACACTAAATATTCCTGAGCCGCTGAGTAGTCCGCAACGCATTGTGCCAGCTGTATGATGTCCTACCCTTCTGCAGGCTTTGAATGAAAGAGCATAGACAGAATTTGACTTTGATCAGGATGATAGCCGGAAGTTCCACAATGCGGTCAATGGCGTTCAAGGATCTAGCTATTTTATATTATGTTATGCTATTTTGATGTTGACAAGAGTCTTTCCGATATTTGTCGCCAGCACCAGCCCGTCATTTCTAGCGCTGACGGCGGCCCAGCTTCGGCTCAGAGTCGCGTCGCTGCGGTGTCTTCCAGGAGGGGATAGTGGACAGTGGACCATGCCCTTTGCCACCTTCGCCAGCCACACAGACACACAATCCTTGCACTATTGGTGATTGACTTGCTCCTTTTTTTTCTCGCAAGTTTAAGTTTAAGCTTCTCTTCTTGAAAGAAAACACGAAATCGCATGTGTCTGGTTTGTTGAGTTCGGTTGTACTTTGCTTTGGTGTTGACAAGTGCTTAGCCTGAAGAACTCCAAAAAGCACGCCGTGGCAGGCTAGATCCCACTCTGTTTTGCGACTCATTCAGAACCTCTTTTTGTGGTGCTGTTTTAATCTGTTTTACATTTACAAGATTTTACAATCACAACCAGGATGGCCCCAGATATCGCGCGCGGGACCTGAGCCATGCCACGAGTGGATTTGCAACATGTGCGCGTTAACCTTTGCCAACATGCCATACTCCCCGAAGCCCCGAAGGATCCTGAAGATGTTTGGAATGGCACTGTGTTGCACTGGCGATCTGCAATGATGGCTAAGGATCGATCAAAAGAGGCCTGCAGCACGAGAAGTATCGCAAGTCGGGGTTTGACGGTGACCACCACCATTTGAAAGTGGAAGATTCAAGGTGCAAGTGGATTTCTTGCCAGATACAACAATCTGGGTAAATTATAACGACCTCACTGGGAATCATGGTTCATAAGGGGAATCATCCCCACATAGCCTTAATTCATCTTACTTCAGGTCGGTGAAATATTATGAAATATTATCATTTACCCAGAACAATGTTTTATAACATGTTTAGCCTGATTTGAGCATGACCGATACCGATACACACTACACCACTATGTTCGGTGGATGGGCAAAGTTTCGCGAACTACAACCTGCATGACGTACTCGTACCCGTTTTGCATTGCTCCCAGGCCGGCCTGCAATGAACGTGTCGAAGATTGGGTGCGACAGCGACACTTAGAGGATGGAGCCTCAATGATTCCATCCTCCCAAAAAAGCTCGGGAGTGAAATTCGATATTGAAAAGAATCTGCGGAAAATATGAGTACAGAAACAGTACAGCTTCTATGAGTCTATGACAATGAAACACCTTCTAGCCAAAGGATGTCACAATGGAAGTCTCAAACTTCCTGTCTCAGACTGTCAGAGCTGATTGCTTCATGGTATCTCATTATGTTTCATTTTGTTCCATGGCTGAAGGATGTGCCAGCTCAAGTAGGGTCACCGGGAGCGGCGGGTGGACCACCATGGGCAGCGCACGCAGCAAAGCGGAATCACCACTCAGCAGCCCTAGAGAGAAGGCGTTCGCGGGGGTGGCGGGAATTCCACCACGGAAATTCGCAATATCTGGGGGGCTGTGGAAAGTACAGTAGCATATGAATATATATGGGAGTCGTCCTAAAACCCATGCAAGGCTTTTAGTATCCGAGTGACATCTGCAGATATGGATGTGTGTGTGTGTTTTGCTGCAGTGGCGAAAGGCCGCGAAAGCGCGGCGTAAGGTTTGCAAAAGGTCTGAATACCACTATTTATATCTATTTATAATTTATAATAAATAAATAATAAATAAATAAATAAATATATATATTATATATAAGTTATCGTATTCATGTTTGGCATTTTTCCTTGCACGATTTGCACGCGCGCACATTGATTGGCATAAATTTGTAAAAGACACCCTTGCATAAACATTAGTTTCTGAAATTTCATTTTTTAGACGAGAAATCCGCGAAAGGTTCGCGAACGGTCCGCCAAAGGTTCGCGAAAGGCGAATCCTCCCTGGGTCCTCCCTTACCCAACCCTGGCCCAAAATGGGCTAGTTCTGTCTGCAATGTCGCAACTTCAAAAGCTTTTCACAGAATGGGTGCAAAACCAATGTCTAGAAGTCAAATGTCCAAAAGAATGTTTTAAATACAATCCTCCTGTAAATCTTTGTGACGAAATTGCACACGAAAACCTAATCATAATCCCATGTCCCGATTCTGCTGGGGCGCGAAAGGGTGCGAAAGGTTCGCGAAAGCGTGGCGTAAGGGCAGTTTTCGGGTACTATAATTTTGGATAACCCCCATATAATTGATTATAATATAGTTGCATATCATATATAATATAATATAATATAATATGATATAATATAGTATAATATCCTGGACATCCATTTGTACTAGAAAAAAGTATCACGAATTGAAAAGTTGTCGTTTCAACAATTTCGATTACGTTTCACAAAAAAGTGGTCGCCTTCCAAAAAAGTACACGATCTTGCTAGTGTGTGTTTGCAAAGTGTATACTTTTTCAAATTGCGCTCGAGTTGCGCAAAATTGCGCTCGAGTTGCGCAAAATTGCGCTCGAGTTGCGTTCTGTTTTTCTGACCGTTTGTGCTTGGTGCCCCTAAAAAGTAATACGTTTCAAAAAAACGATACGAAGATCACTATTTTAACAAAATTTGAACTATTTGCCATATTTCACGCGTTTTCATGAAAACTAGTACGAAACCATGGGGGGTACTTTTCTCTAGTACGATTGGATGTCTAGGATAATATAATATTATATTATATTGTATTACATTATATAATATTATTATATAATATTATATAGATATGCAGGATCACAAATAGAGATAGAGAGAGATGAAGATGAAGCTTAAGATGAAGATGATGAAGAAGTTGATGATGATGATGATGACGACGACGACGATGATGACGATGACAATGACGACGACGACGACGACGACGACGATGATGATGATGATGACGATGATGATGATGAGGACGACGATGACGATGATGATGGTGATGATGATGATGATGATGATGATGACGATGACGATGACGATGATGCACAAGAAAGACCATCATTATAGGACAGAAATTTACAGAAATCATCATCAGATATGTCCACTACGGCAAGATCGAGTACAGTTTTATTACCGTACATATACCGTACATATACCGGACATACACCGTACATATACCGTACATATACCGTACATATACCGTACATATACCGTACATACATCCAGCCACCTCCCAAAGACGTTTCAGACATGGAGAAATCAACAGGATTTTTTTTTTCTTTAGCCATCAGGCACTAGGATCCATGTCCAGCAGGCCCCACAGCTGGAGAAGAAGTATCCCATGTGGGTGATGCGGATCAATGACTTCCTGAGCCTACCGAAGCTCCCAAGTCACCTGGAGCTCAAGTCATCAGGCATTTTGCACATCCACGAGGCCCACTTTTTCACCATTTTCGTGTCTCACCAGTTGCTTGGCTGCAGAATGCTGCAGATGGGCCACCAGGAACTGCAAGTTCTTTTCAAAGATCCAACCGGCCCAACCAGAGAGCTGTACCTGCTGGGTAGTGATTTTGGGGCTCTTGAAATATGCATCATGTGCTATCATGTGTACATGTGTATCCATGCATATAATTACGTACATATAATTATATATATATGCTACATATCAATGCAGCCCTTGAAATTTCATAAATCCAACACATTGGTGCGTTTGGGGTGGCATTTCTAATGCTTCGCAGGTGGTTGAGTCAGAAGCATCCAGATCCTTCCGGAGCCAAGATATCAGTGCTCAAGGGCTGGCTGCAGAATCTAATGGATCGACAAGCTACGGCCACCTTGCTGCAATGGTTCAACGGCACACAGCGATACGGCATGATCCAGGATAGCCTGTGGTTTTTGTGAAAGATGCCAATCATTTGGACATTGTTGAACATTTTGGACAAATGTTGTCCAGTTGCCCAGGAATTCCATTGTGATCATAATGGACCATGTCAATATTGATCTGCCACACCAAAGGTAGAAAAGAACTTCTTGCCGCACGTCTTGCCCGGCCATCGGAATGGGTACCACATCTCGAGCAAACGGGTGGCGAACGGATGCTCGGCCCACTTAGACTTGACATGGTTCACCTGGTTAGGGTAGCCGTCATTTCCCCAAAGATGTGCAACGGGTTGATGGGAGGATTTCCCCATGCATCCTCTTTTGCAATTAATTGCTCACAATAATCTTCCATTTGACCTTTGAAAGACCAATTGGGAATACTTACAGTGTTACATCAAGTGCATGGGTCACTGGTATGATAGTGGCCACTTGGGTAAGCGTTCGTGATTTTTCATGGTTTTCAGATGTTTTCAGAATGAACTCCAGTTCTTTAGGCTATCTTTGGCTGGACTGGTTTTCCTTGCCGTTGTCTTCCCAATCACCCCACCTGCTTCATCAGCACCATCTTGCTGCAGAGTCCATGGCCGCGTATGTTCAAAGCAGCGACTTGTTCGTGGCCTTAGTGCCTCCGTTGGAACACCGGGAAACTGGCAAGAGACTTAGATGACTTGGCAGTTTTAGGGACAGATGTCCAGGTGGATGTCCCAAAACTTCCACATTCTTTTAGTGGAAAGCAGGAGTTGGAGTTGGGGTAAGCTTTTTCCATGTTCCCATTTCTATTTGAGATTATGGTATTGAAGTGGGAACTGAGGGAAGTTTTTGACAACAGCTCAGGATAGCCGCATTCGCAACCTGGTTGTCTCGTGGATGGTGCCAGAGTGAAATGTGGACGCATGCGCTCTCTATTAGGGACGTCGTTCCTGCCATTGCAGTCCACTCCATGAACAAGGCGGAGTTTATTGGTGCGAAGGCTTTCGAGCACTCGCCCCTTGCAGGTTTTGTCAGTACCTGTTCGGGTCAGAGTGGGAGGTTTAATTTTGACAGGTCCAGGTGGGGTTTAGAGAAAATAGAGAGTGGCTCAGTCCATTGAAATTCGCCAAGGTTCTCGCTGAACGGGGAATTTTCCTTTGCCAGCGACCATGCAATTTGCCGCGCGTTAGTCACTGATGCCGTGAATGCCAAGCTGGCTCACATGAGGAGCAACTTGCCTTTTGCAGCTCCAGCCATGCTATAGCAACCCCAAAGACCTAGAAATGTAAAATCCTGCTGAGGGTACTTACTGGATGTTTTCTATGTTGTCGGGGTTACTAGGAGGCTATGAGTCATTCTCTGGCAAAGGTAGCCTTCCAGGCAATTTTATCCGGACGCGTGGGCACCTGCAGTGGCTGACTGTAGGCTAGCAAACCATGGTGGGAAAGTTTCAGATCAATTGATACCAAATCATCATTCAACTGCGTCAAGGCGCCGCTCACGCTAATATCACTATGGTTGCTGTTGATAGTTGCCCAGATCCGTCCCAGCACCAGCAGAAGTTTTAAAGTCCAGATTCGCGTCAAGGAGCTGCTGGTTGATAGAGAGAGCTCTCCAACAGACTCCAACAACCCATAATGAGAACTGATACTGGTACCAGTCATAACCTCGATCTTCCTCACAAAGGCATTCGTGTATATTCGTGTCATGATTGGATACAGTATGATTGGCCTATTTAGGCTTTTCTCTAGACTGCAGCCATTTTGGCTGGCTGCAACTAGTTTGATGGTTGCTCTGAAACCGCCCAGGTGAATTGATGAATGGCAAGCAAATTGACGTGGATCTCTTCCGGTACCTGAGTAGCAGACACCATGAGATTGTGGGATTGCCAGCCGCACCAAGGACCGAGCAGATGTGGTTAGGGTGTCAGGGGAGGAGCACTGAGAGGAAAGCCATGGAAAGCCTATATCTGATTTGCCACCAAGCTACAGGTATTCGATATGTGTAAGAAATGAGGCACCGCAGCCACCACAAACCCCACAGGAATGGCATCCTGACCCAAATAGTAAAATAGAATAAACTAGACTAAAGTAGATCATCATTTGAAACTTTTGAAACTGATGGTCGGTTTTGTAAGTCTTTGTATTTTGGCAGGTTCACCAGGTCTTGTCAATTTTACATTGTTTTTACCGTGCTTCTCCTTTTTCAAGTGGCCACTGCTCATGGCTGCTGGAGCTGAGCCACGGTTAAGACACCTCATTTTCTCATAGCCATTCTCTGTGGGTGTTACAGGGTGTGACGGAATCTGTACTGTAGAAGTGGCAAGTGTGTGTGTGTGTGTGACTCAGTCAGATGCTGGCAGGAGCATCAAACAGTTCATGCATGACTTCTACTTCAAGTCAGCGCTGGCGTTGGATCAAACCAACGGTATCGGAGCAGTGGCCTGTGCTGCCTTGTCCGAAGACCTAAGGATGCTGGGTGAAGTGGTAGAGGCAGAGGCACCACTTGATTGCCTGGTGAATCGACAGATGACCTTCGTCTCGGATACCTGTCCTCTCCACATGGTCGCAGATCGAGGCGCGGAGGGGGAAGCTGTGCTAGTGAAGCTCCTGCAGTTGCGTGCCAATCCCAATGCTGCGGATGGCTATGATGGGGCTCCCCCATTGGCGCGTTGCAAGTCCAGGGGTGGAGTGGAGACGCTCTGCCTCTACGGCGCAGAGGTGAACCGTCGCAGTGCCAATGGTCTGACACCGCTGACGGCCATGTGCGGCCTTGGTGCCCCGCCTCGCGCGGTGCAGACGATGTTGGATCTGAAGGCAGAAGTCAATCCGGATGCTGAGGGTGCTGTTGTGACGCCCTTGGCCTATCTGGCGATGTTTTACAGCCAGAATCCTTGGGGAACAGAAACCCTTCAGTTGCTTCTAAGAGCCAAGGCCGACATCAATCAGTGCTGCAAGCCTTTGCCTACGCCGGGAAAACGTTGCCTTGCAGCCTGCACTCGTAGCAAGGTGGTTCGGCAGCCTACACCCTTTGAGCTGTTGGGTCGGCTAGGCACCACCCCACTGGGTGTTGCAAGTCATTTTGGTCATGAAGACCTGGTCAAGGAGCTACTGACGATGAAAGCAGACCCGCAAATCAGAAACCCGGGTGGACTTCGACCTGAGGAACTTGCGCAGAATCAGCGAGTGAAGAATATTTTTCAATCTCCTGTTTCCGATCAGCCTCCAGTTTTGACCTTGCAATTGCCAGGGTATGACTATTTGTACGGCCTTGATGCCTCATTTGTTGCTACGCATTTCACCGATGAGATGATCAGCATGAAGTTCTAGCTGCGAAGCAGCAGGATGTCTCACCCTGGTTCCGGCCGTTGTGGCTACAGGCTAGAGGCATTCTAATGCATTGTATACTCCCCAAGAGGAGTGAAGGCTACAGAGGACACACCGAGCTTATGAATATATATATATACATACATCATACATATATATACTGAAATACTGGATTCTACTCACAAGAAATGTAGTTCAAGATGTTCAAGGAGATGTAGCGGCCCCTAGCCTGTTATGAAAAGATGGATTACGTAGTTTGGCACTGCCAGTTAGGCCACCCGAACACATCGCCCAGCGAAAGCTGACACCAGATGAAAAAGTTAGCCATTTGATTGTTTGGTTTTGGAAGCACGTTTCATGTTTCCGTCCTACCTGGGGTGATCAACCCAGTTGCTTTCTCATATTTTGATGGGTTGAAGATGTTGAAGCTGTTGAAGCCGCCAGCTGGTGATTGGTATGTGACTGGTTTGGCGTCAATGATGATATGTTTGGGAACCTCGTGATGCTGCAAGGCGCACAAGTACAAAGTGGCCAGGTGGTGATTGGGATTGGCTGATGGATGCTAAGGGCAAAGGAGCTGTTAATCGTTTTCAGGGCACCCTGTGATCAAATTGAACCTTAGAAACATTAATTTTAAAGGGGAAAAAACGGTTGATGGTCAGTGTCACCTTGGGAATCTCGAATTGGGTTTTTCTGTGCTAGTTCCTTTGCAACATGACGCTCACGGGGATTGTTTCCGGCATGACTGGCAGTGGAGCAAAAGTGAGCAAAATCTGGCGTCAGGTCGAGGTCATTGATCAACAATCAGTGGTCAGTTCGTGTGAGCCTCGGGTTTGCTTGCAGGAGTTATGTGCCAAGAACGGGATGACCCAAAGGGTCGGTTGGGCCGGTTGGGCAGGACATGACAGGATATGACAGGGCTTACTTGTAGCAGTGGTTCAAGAGTTTTGTGAATAAGTGGACTAGTGTAGTTTGCACACGAGCAGTGGAAGTTGAGATGGAACACCACAAGCTGTGTTGTGAGACCAGAGGAGTCGGAGCTAAGTGCCACAAAAATCCACAAATCTGAAACATGCCGAGATGTCCAAGAGTTTGCCGATGTTTGCTGAAAGAGGTGGTTCCGAAGTTCCAAGTGGTCAAGTCCAACAGAGAGCCAAGTTTGCTTTTTCTCGGTGAAACATGCTGAAATTGTCACATTTTGTCAAAGGTGAGGAGACCAAACTGCAACCCACGCGCCGAAATGCGAAAAAGGAGCAGATGGAAGAGGCGCAGATGGTGGACTGGACTGGCCGTGTTTGTCTCGCATGCAGACATATGCAGACACAGGCTAAACTAAGCGGCTAAACATGGCTAAACGTGTATGTCACATTATGTCATTGCAATATATTGCAATAGGTAGGTGTGGGGCAGATGATGGCAGATGTGTAAAGAATTGACAAGAATTGTAAAAGATGTGGAAACATTGAATTCAACATCGCAGTAAGCGATGATCTACTCGCCACGGCGATTCTGGATAACGGTGAGAACTTGCAAGCTGAACATCCAGTTGCCACCTTGCACTGTGACATGGGCTCAGGCCCCAGAAGTTATAGTTCCTAAGTCCTTGGTTTGGAAGGTCGATGGGCTTGCCAAAAATGAGAAGATGTGACATCCGTCCGTAGATTTTTTTGGGTTTTGCAAGGCATCCAAATCTAAGGCTGGCCATGATCTGCAGAAACTGAATCAGTGATACTTTCAGTGGTCGGGCTGAAGGAGCGCTACTCAAGCATTGAGAAGGAGAACCGCAGACTGCTCACACGAATGCAGGAGCTCTCCTTCTGCTGGTGCTCGCGTTAGAGACAGATTGCCCGGAAGACATAGGATGGATATGGATGGATATATTCGTCCTCAAACACGATATGTGATGATAGATGGTATATAGATGTATATTATATAATGTTATATAGTGTTGACGTGTGATTAATAAACCCCTCTCCCCCCAAAACATGAAGAGCATCAAAATAAAGATTTAGGCCAAACATTGGCCGGGGGTCCCTGGATAATTTTCCAGACCTATGTGGCGCCGAACAAATTGCCTAATTGAAAACGAATACATAAGTGGACTTTCTTTCCATTTTAGTATTCCCAAACAAATGAATTGCCTAGTTGAAAACGAATACATAAGTGGACTTTCTTTGCATTTTAGTATTCCCAAATGAATCGCCTAATTGAAAACGAATACATAAGTGGACTTTCTTTGCATTTTAGTATTCCCAAATGAATTGCCTAATTGAAAACGAATACATAAGTGGACTTTCTTTGCATTTTAGTATTCCCAAATGAATTGCCTAATTGAAAACGAATACATAAGTGGACTTTCTTTCCATTTTAGTATTCCCAAATGAATTGCCTAATTGAAAACGAATGGTTCAAATAGGAATTGAGAAATGAATCCGGCAAAAATTTAGACCCCTGAAATCCAAATACTTTATTTAGGGGGGTGCAAACATTCATATTTATTTAGATGTTAAGAGTCTTCAGGACTAGCCCCTTTGCGCGATTGATTTTTTGCATTTGTTTGAAAGGTTTTAGTAAGGAAACTAACCATTTGAGCCCTCTTGATTTTTTAATTCCAGAACTTTCCAGGAAAGCAATTGAGAAAAGGTTCAAATAGGAAAGCAAGTGAGAAACGAATCCAACCACCAAAAACTTAGACCTCTGAAGTCCAAATACTTTAGTAAGGGGGCGAAAACATTCATTTTTATTTAGATGTTAAGGGTCTTCAGGACTAGCCCCTTTGCGCGATTGATTTTTTGCATTTGTTTGAAAGGGTTTAGTAAGGAAACTAACCATTTGAGCCCTCTTGATTTTTTAATTCCAGAACTTTCCAGGAAAGCAATTGAGAAAAGGTTCAAATAGGAAAGCAATTGAGAAACGAATCCAACCACCAAAAACTTAGACCTCTGAAGTCCAAATACTTTAGTAAGGGGCGCAAACATTCATTTTTACTTAGATGTTAGTGGCTCCAGGGGCTCCTGAAAAAAAAAAAACGGAAATTATAGAAACAAACATATCAACAATCGCTTGTCGTACTTTATTTATTACAGGGGGTTTATTAACGGCACGTGGACCTTAGTATATTATAGTGTATCATTATTTGCATACATTATATGTGAGTGTGTGTATGTGTGATATTGTATGATTGTACAATAGTACTCATTATGCAATAAATGTGCTGCAGTTTCTGATCAGAAGGTATTCGAGCAGACGCTCACCGAGCAGTCTGAAGTCTTGCAAGCTGAGGAGATAGAGCGACGAGGCACCCAAAAAGCTGCAGCCAGCCTGGTCCTAGGCCGGGAGCGGATGGGAGACCGGCAGTGGGCAGTTGCCACTGTGAAATCCCCATGAGTGGTTGGTCAAAACCACAAGATGATTAACACGTATTTAAACCACACTCTGATATATAAGGCTCGTATTATAATCTATTATATACATAAATCTATATGACCTGGTAGCTCGTGGTAGGGGCGTCATATGCAGCTATTGAAATTTGACACATGAAATGCATGAAAGCTGCAAGTTGTTGCTTGACACTGACACGTCATCATGACACATCAGTCACGAAAGCTAGCTTGCTAGCTTGCTAGCTTGCTAGCTGGAGTTGGATTTGCTTTAGCAATGAATTGGGGGCAGACTGGATACAGCCTCCATGATTTGCATGTCGAATCATGTCGAACTAGTTTTGGGGCCCCGTTGTTGGACATGATGAATCATCTCGAACTGTTACCCCCCCACCTCCGCTGCATCCAACCCCCTGGGTTTCATCTGCGACCAGGTGCTCGCATGCCCACGCACAGATATACAAGATGATATTCACCGTGAGCGTTGTGAATATAATGCAATGCAATGTAATGTTGACAAACAGCAGCGATCGAATACATGCTATGCATCCAGAAGCACTAAGCACCAATATGAACACGATTTGACACATAAAATGGTCATGGGTGATACCTTCACGCTGCAAGATTTGGTGAAGGGATGGAAAGCAGCCAAACATAACAGTACAATAGGTGCCACGCATCCTGAAGCATTAAGAAGAACGCCATTGGATATTGGAGACATAAAATTGTCATGGGTGATACCTTCACACTGCAAGAGTTGGTGCAGGTATCAAACGAACTGGAACTCAGCCAAACATAGCATTCCAATACGCACCATGCAGCACCCCGAAGCACTGAGATCAATGCCACCGGATACAAATTATGATTGTCATGCATGATACCTGCGCGCAGGAGGATTTGGTGAAGGATGGTGAAGTTATCAAACAGAATCGAATTCAGCCACGCACAGCAGTCTAAAACATGCTATGCATGAGAAAGCACCAAGATGAACGCCATAATCTAATCTATAGATTCCAATCTAATTTATATAATTTAATCTCATCTTTCTAATGTAATCTAATCTAATCTAATCTAATCTAATCTCTATATATAATCCAATGCAATGTAATGAGAGAACAACCAGGAACAACCACTTGGGTTCTTGCACTCCTTTTCCTCAAGACGTTTGCATGAAAACATGACCCCAGTCTTGACGAGGAATGGCAGATGCGCACCTTAAGATTCAAAAGCATTTCTCGCTCGATGCATGTATGTACCTAAGTTCCCAGATTCTAAGCCTGTGTTATTTGTTTAGTGGAGAACGGATTTGGCGCGACCTTTTTTTCTCAATTTGAATTCAAAATTTGAAATTGAAAAGGTCGCGTCACATATTCTCTCAACACACGTCTCTCCTTGCCCAACTACTCTAGCTTTCGTCCCCTTCCCTTTGGCCTCAATCTGTGTCAGGTGTGAAGCCATCGTGGGATTCCAAGTTCTTCGGACTGAAACAGTAAAAACCTATGAAACACGTGATAAAACAACTTCATTATCAAACTTGTCTCCGGCAAGTAGGCAAGAAAATTCAGCAGTTGACCCTGCCAAACTGCCAAACGGTTCTTTTTTTGTGGAGCCTTCGTGTGCCCTTGCGCTTCGCAACAACTACTGTACCAGCTGAGTTTCTTGATCCGGCCATGACCGTGAATACCTTTAGGCTCAGTCAGCCTTGCCCCGCAACAGGTGTCATGAGGTGGCACAGGGGCGCAGTTGTGCTGAAGCGTCTCGTTGCGTGGCCAGCATTTCTGCTTTGCGTTGCCTTGGCATCCGATGGATTTGTAACCTGGGGGAGGATAGAGAAGGTCCCTCACAGATGTCCACGACCAGCATCGGATGCGTCAGAACAGTTGGACCTTAGCCCAGGCAGGACCCGTTATGTGCCTGGCCGACGTTTGGTTTCCAAGTCAAAGAGGAGGAAAAGCAAGCCATATGATCCAGCAGCTGGGGCAAAGAGCCGCCGAAATATTGGCTGGTTGCTTGTGATCATGGGTTGCCACCATTTGATTTTGCATGTTTTTGTTGATTCCTGTGCCTATCATGTCTTATCCCAGTTTTAGTTTATCCCAGTCACTCTTTGTTCATATTCTTTTTGCGGGAGTGCTTCGCACCCCACAAGCCTCCAAGGTTCCATTGGCATCCTGAGTGAAGCTCCGACAGATTCACCTTATTCTGATCCAGGCATTGTGAGTGGTTCATCAGAATGGGCCTACTCGACTCCAGTGATCGAAACTGGCAGCATTTTAATGGCTCGACCTGGGGATACTTTCGCCCAACGGCAGCAGTACTTCCACAAGTCGGTGGTTCTGATTATCAAACACGATGATGCCGGTGATATGGGTCTTTGACCGGCAAAGCTCTTTTTGTTCTTTGTAATTTCGCACAAATGCTTTGTTCGTTTGGACACGATGGTCAGTGATTATGTGTTCCACAGTTGGGAAACCTGGTTCCACATCTTCAAACCATCCTCGAGCCATGTGAAACCAGGTATCATCATCAATCGTCCCAGCGGCTTCAACACGCGGCAGCTGGGCATCAAAGGTCCATCGTGGAACATTTGGTTTGGTGGCGACTGTGAGGGAATCCGTGACGCCCATGTCAGGGGGATTCGCAGTTTCTGCCTTCATGTGATAGATGACTTTGCCAGCATGTCGCGAGAAGTCACCCGAGGGGTCTACCTCATCAGTTTCGATAAAGCACAAGAGTTGGTGTCTGCGGGACAGGCGCAGACATCGGACTTCATGCTGTTCTTGGGCTATTGTGGCTGGATCCAAAATCAGCTACAGGGAGAGCTGAATGTAGGAGTGTGGAAGATGGCCTCCTGACACCTTTAGCAACTCTTTTTCGGAACGTTTGTCGGAACGAAGCATATCAAAATGTAGACAAGATGAAACACCGCCTTAGCTAATAACGTCTCCTCACAACAATGGAAAAGCGAAATCTGAAACACTGGTAATATACTCTCCCGAAAACCAACGTTGGGCAAAAAAAATAAAGTCAATTGGGTTCCATGTTAGCGCACCCATGTATTGGTAATATTGTTGACTCGTTTGTGATCTTGTGCCAGCATACAGCATACCTGTGTTTTTTGAATCAGCCGCCCAGTGATGAGCCAACATGTTTGATTCTCAATGCCATAAATGCCATACACTTGCTTTCACTTGGTGTCACATGTCGAGTTTCCGGGTTTCCTTCTCAGGCCTCGGTGGATTCCCGCGTCATCGTGCGGGAGTTGCGGGAGGAGACCATGGAGCTGCGACAATTGCCACAGCTGGGCCTGGACGATGGCGTGGGACTTTGGCGACATCTGTGCCATGGGCTGTGCTGGGAGCTGTTTGATGCTGTTTGGATTGTTTGGGAAATCTGACATAGTGATATTGTTGAGGTATCCAGCTTCTTGTGCCGCGTCTTGTGTATCATTAAGATGGAACATTTTGCCAACACTCCAAGTTAAGCCCAAAGCCATTAAGTGTTGGTGCATGATTTGGGAATGTTAGGGAACGCGTACACTATGAGGCTAGAGGCTGTTCTCGCGCTTTTGGGTGGGCAAAATGGCGGAACGTTTGCTGTTGATTAGTAGGAAACTATGATTTGATTTGATTGGAGATAGGAGAACCTGTCTTGTGGGACTTTCTCCGCTCCATGTGTGCCGCACGGATCATTTGGCAGTCATGGAGATGTTCATTCCACTTGGACTTGGATGAATGATGATGAATATATGAATATAATATATGAAGATGATGATGATGATGGTGATGCTGATGCTGATGCTGATGCTGATGCTGATGATGATGATGATGAAGAATGTGTAATGGGGAAGTGGATGGATTGGATGGATTGGATGGATTGGATGGGCTGAGCTGCCTGGACGATGTGCCAGGTACGCTGTTGTGGATGCAGGTGATGCCAGAAACGATCCCTTCGATCCAAACATGCTGGATACGAATAGCGTGGAGGGCGATGCATTTGGCGATGCCATGCTGCGCCAGTGGCTGATCCAAAATCTCACTCCTTGACGGCCCAGGAGCTTGCACAAGGCTTGCCTGATGGCCGATAATCAATATGGCTTTGCATTCACCACGATTTGCTCGTTTTCCGCCCCTTTCCAGAGGCACTGAGAGACTGGTTGAAATTTGCGGAGATCCGTGAAGCTCCGCAGTTCTTGCCGCTTCTGCGCCCACCTGCTGCGCAAAAGGCAGGCTGTACAAAGTTCCACAGCTGTGATTACGCCGAAGGGACAACTGAATGGTGCAAAGCTGCGCACTGCTGACATTTGCTGACCAAAGTACACGCTCGAATCGAACACGATAGTTTGGTGCAGCGAAAGATTTCACCCGCATTTCAGACATGGAAACGTTCAATCGAGCAGTGTTCAGAACCCCTGTTGGTTGACGATTCTAGGGGGTTATACTGTATACATTTGGGTAGCCATCTGTATACTCTCCAATATATACCAGTATATGTTACATAGGGATACATAGGGGATTATCATATTTTTTCATCATCTATGAACTGGGAATCTGCTGAATCCCTATTTGTTGGTTGATGATTGTAGGGGTTATGCTACCGGGTAGATCTTTCATGGGAATCTATGGGAATCCCTCTTAGTCATCAATCAACTGGGAAAGCCTACTAATCAGACAATATACTACCAAATCATCACCCATTGATGGAAATCCGTACAATCAGAGAAATCATAATTCTGTTGATCCCTATCATTTCCCATCCATCCTATATACAATCCCATTTGATCCCATTTGTTTACTCCCTATTAGTTCCTACTGCATCATCTTCCCAAATCCAGCGGACATGGCATGGCACATTCCGAGGCGTCCTAGCAGTTTGCCAGCTGGCTCACGAGCCTGCTGCCCAGAGTTGTGCCAGAGCGGGTACATGTGTGAGCTGGCACAACGACGACATCAAATGACATATACAACTAATGCATACATAGTCGTGATACTATGATGATATTGCCTAAGATGTACGCAGAAATCCCGAAATTCAAGCTGACACCTAACGACGTTTGGTCCACGGGAGAGAGACAGGTGGGTAGATTTGGGGTGGTTGCGATCAATGCATGGGGGTGGCCAGAAGTGGCATCAGCGACTGCCGGTCCAGCAGACAGCCAGCAAAGACAAGATCGGCTGGGCTAGCGATGGCTACAAGCTACTGCATGCATTCACATACAGAGAGACACCAGGAAGGATGAACACATGCACTGTATCATCAAATATCATGAGAGCATTGCACAGAAAACGTCCACATACGTGTCCTGTAATGGAAGAGCTCTGCTTATGGCTGGCCATGATGCTGCGTAGCAGAGTGCGGTAGTCATCCCAGTATGCAGCTGGGCTGCTGAAGCCAGCTACTTCAGCACGAGCAGCTGATTTGCCAGGCAGAAACACTCAATCTGAGTGGATGTGTCCCAAAAAGTGGAACAGCTCTGGCAAGAAGTGATTGAAGACTACCTATGATGCTCTCCACCGCACGGCTGCCAATTTAGGTGCCCCATCTGCAAAATTGGGTGCCTGGGATGGGCTGTTGGGAAAGCTTTGTATCCATGGAGCTTCAGTCTGGTTCTCCGCTGCAAAATTTTAAAATCAAATCCCTGCGAGTTTGAGGCTTTCGGTGCTCAGCTTGCGAAGGATGACCATGCAACCTTTTCGTCACAGGGCGCTTGTTCCTGCATGGTGCTGAAGGCGTGGAAAGTGGGGAGGGAGAGAGAGAGAGAGAGAGTGAGAGAGTGATGAGAGAGTGATGAGAGAGTGATGAGAGAGTGATGAGAGAGTGATGAGAGAGTGATGAGAGAGTGAGAGAGTGAGAGTGAGAGAGAGAGAGTGAGAGAGAGAGAGAGAGTGAGAGTGAGAGTGAGAGAGTGAGAGTGAGAGAGTGAGCAGCTGTGAGCAGCTGTGAGCAGCTATGAGCAGCTATGAGCAGCTATAAGCAGCTTTCCAGCGAAGCCAGGTTTCCCCATCAGTTTTGGCCCAAACTCTGCACGTTCAAGTTTGTTGCAAGATGCTTGTGATTGGCAAGCCTCCAGCCCATGCAGTCTCTGCTCAATTGCCCTTAGGAATGCTCGCATCAATGCAAGCGTTGCCAACCTTGAAGAGCTGGGTTCACTAGGATGATGATCACCATGCCGTCAAAGCAGATCACTGATGATCAAAACCAAAAACCTTGAATCCCCTTGGCAGCTCGAGCCCAACATAGCCCAACCATTGAAAGTTTGCCATGGCTAAGCGGATTGCCTTGTGCTGCCTCTTTCTGGTTGCTTGCAGCTGGTGCAGTTGGAGGTCCCCAGCCATGGCTCTGCGGCGCGTCCTGGTGACTGGCGGAAACAAAGGCATTGGCCGAGCACTCTGTCGGCAGCTGGCAGCAGATCATGGTTTCTATGTCCTGCTGGGTAGCCGGGATCCAGGACGAGGCGGGTGTCATCATGTTGACTGAATGGAGATGAGATTGGCTTTAATCCCTTCACCCTAATAATAAACGCCACCCAAATAATAAACCTAAGGGTAGTTTTTATTGTTAGATGGTATTTAATACTCGGGGGAGAAGCTGGTCCCTAATATTAATATTAAGTTTAAAGCCTTAATTACAAAAACTAAAATGTTCGATTTCAAAATCGATCAAAATAATGGTTTGACTGGAAATTGAAATATTGCAAATTGTTCAAAAACTCTAATATCACTTTTAACACCTTAACCATCATCTTATAACTTTAAAAATAACATGTTCGATGTCAAAATTGATCACTTTTTAAAATCTAATTAAAGTATTGCCAAAGATTGGATTTCGACGCTTTCACCTAATATTAAACTTAAATCCTGAATTAAAAGAACTAACATGTTCAATTTCAAAATCAGTCAAACTCCCTTTTAAATACTATATTTAAAACCCTATTGTAGTTGAAAAAAATGTTCGATTTCAAAAGACGGACCCTTAAAAAAAAACACCCCGGGTGAACAAGTTTTTATTATTATAGGAACCTGCAAATTGGACCTTGGGGTAGTTTTTATTATTTAGGGAAGGTTTAGTAATAGAGAGAAGGGATTAGTCGGTGTGGCACAGAATTGGAAAGCCAGGTGAAGAAGCTGTGAAGAGCATTTTGGAGAAAAGCCCAGAGTGCAGCCTCGCTTGCACTGGGGGTGTGGTGCCGCCAGTGTGAATGGGTGTGGCTAACCATTGCAGGGTCTATGTTAGTTGACAAAAATCACAAAAATGTGGCCCCCAAAGACTCTCCAAAAGCCGTTGACATAATATATACATATAATATATATATAATGTAATATGTTAGATTTATATAACTATATATATGTCATGTGTGTATGTGGCGGCATACACCCAATGGATTTGAATGGGAAAATGATGAGTAACATTGATCAACCATCAAATTTGAGGATAGCCATGGATTGATGGGTACCCTATGTCCAGGCAAACGCATACATCATTTGACTACGGTTCCAAGGCCAGGATCGTCTGGAGTTCCTTCCATTGGACGTTGCCAGTGACGCCTCCGTGAAGGCCGCAGCGGAGACGGTCCGGGAGAAGTTTGGGACGATGTACGCCATCGTGAACAACGCAGGCGTGGGCTTCCAGAACTCCATGGCGGACACGCTGAACATCAACACCTACGGCCCCAAGCGCGTTTGCGACCACTTCCTTCCCTTGTTGGATCCGAAGGACACTAGAATCTGATGGGAAGCTGATGGGAAGCTGATGGGAAAGGGGAAAGACGAGGCAAGTATACATTAAATATGATGTGACATGGGGTGACGTGATATGACCAGACACGACATGTCTATGCCATCAGATGCCCCTGCAGCGTCTTCAGCACCCATCTACATTCTGTGAGCGCAAGGAATGACAACTTCCAAGTCTGGCAAGCTGCAAATGCAGCTGGCAGCGACCCATTTTCTGAAGACTGGTGTTGTCACTACAGATCACTACGGTCACCCTGTTTGGATCTAGATGGATTTGGTATGACCATGTTGCAGTTGCAGCCCATGGTTTCGCAATGTTTCGCAATGCTTCGCAGGAGGGTCGCATAGTCAACACAGCCTCAGCATCTGGTCCCAACTACAACGCTGGAGCACCAGCCGCTGAGCGCGAGATGCTAACCAATCCAGTGACTTGGCACCGCCTTGGCGCCGGTGGATGTTCAACTCCCCAGCTGGGGAAAACAATGGGAAACCCATGGGAAACCCATGGGAAAACCGGAAACTGACGGAAAGCCCTGGGGAAAATCCGTGCTGTTGGCGGAGAATCGTCAGGGACTCAGCTGCTGTTCAGTTCCCCAACCCATTTGCTGGTGTCCCAAGGATGTCACATGGGAGGAGCTGAGTGCTACCATGGAAAAGGTGAGTAAAGATCCAGGAGGTCGACAGCCCTATGGTTTTTCCAAAGCCTGCTTGATCGCTTACACCATGATGCTGGCACGGGAAAAACCTGAGCTGAAAATCAACGCCATGACCCCTGGATACATCTTGACAGACATCACCAGGGGCATGGGAGCGACCAAACCACCTGAGGAAGGAACCAAGGCGGCCATCTATTGTGCCTTGGCTTAGCGGATCTTAGCGCCTTAGCCTGATCCTTGGGAAACTATTGAAGGTGGTGTTTGCAACTGATGGCCACACGATCCCAAACACATGGTTCTTCCAAGAAACTTAAAATGATATAAAATGGTTTAAAATGGTTTAAACATGTTTAAAGTTTAAAGGCCCATCAAAGACTTTCCAAGCACACGTTGCACCAAAGACAGCTGCTAAAGGCCTTACCGGCGACCTGAAGGGCAATGGTTGGTACTACGGCTCAGATGCCTTGAGAAGCCCAATCGATCGCTATCGTGCTCCTGGTGATCCACCCTATGAGGGCCCTTGATGTGATCCCACACTCTACAAACGGGTGAGATCGGGTGAGATATGTGTAGAAAGCGATGTGAATAGCGCGAAAACTGTCAGAAACTCGATTCTATTTGCAGAGAAAAACGGTTCATAGCTGCAGCTATGACTGGAATGGCTGTTCAACAGGACATTATTGGAGGCAAGTTGATTCGCTAGCAGAAAGCGTAATTTAGTCGACCGCTTTTATTTTCCTGTTTTGGGACTCTGTCTTACCCCGCTTTGTCAAAAGACATGTAGCATATCGTAGCAGTTCTTGCCAGCCTGCAGTGGCCATGAAGTTTGCACTATTCCGGGGGAAAAACAAAAACCATGCTCCAAAAATCTTCCAAATGGAGAAATTGGGATCGCTTGCAGTGTTTGATGATTTTGATTCTAAAACCCTGTTTGACTACTTGAGAAGCATCAAATGCATTCAAATGATTCAAATGCGTCAAATTTTTAAAAATCGTTCAAGCACAAACCTTGGTCGGTGGTTTTATGGGCACGACTGGTCACTATTGGGATACCCCTTGGAGATTCCTCTGTAAAATGAGGGATCCTGGATGCCGTTTACAGAGGGCCCAATTTCCCAAGCCTTGTTTGCGGCAGGTGGCTGTGTGCCGTGGAGCTGGTCATTCAACACCCGTGGCGAAAGAAGCGAACAAACTCCCACTGGAATCTGAGAATGATGGTGTTTAGATCATGGATGATCATGGTATATCATGATCATGCCTGGCCGTGCATTTGGGCTACAACCCGACCCAACCAAGCGGCAAACCGGTCATCGTGGCTATAGCAAAATTGCCAGGGCTCCACCAACACTGGCATCCAGCAGAGCATTTCGCTCACCACTGGATTGTGTCAACCTGGAAAGCATGACAAATCACCCATATTATAAATGAATGAGACTAAATGGATGTCAAATCTACAGAGAGAAAGAAAACAAGAAAAAAGAACAGAAGGAAGGATAGACCGAAAGATAGATAGCTAGGTATATCAATAGGTCTATAAATGGATAGATCATGATAGATAATGATAGATGCTGATCGATAATGAATAATGATCGATAATAAATGGGTAGATTATGATTGATAATGAGATAGATCTACAATTCAATATAATACGTTTCAAAACATACTTGAATCATACCTCCCTTCCAAGAAACCCAATAGCAATAGGCATGTTTGGATGTATGGCCTCGTTAGATTTCATTTGGGTTAGCCTTTTCCTTGGGATTTCTTGTCTCGCTTTCCTCCTCAGAAATTGAAGGAACATCAAAGAAAGCCAAAGGAAATCTAAGGAAAGGGCAAGAAATCCAAGCATCACCCCAGCCCCAATCCAAGGAAACCAACGAAAAACTACGAAGGGGTAAGCAAAACATAGCAAAACCGACTAAAAGAATCTAAGCAAACTGGGGAAATGTAATATAATCTAAGGAATTCTGAGAAAATCTAAGGAAAATCTCGGAAATTCTCAGAAACCTTGAATGAAAGGCGGCCAGTAAGGCGGTTTCTTTCTTGAGAGCCCAGGGTTTGACCAAGATTTGCTGACCTTGCCACTGGGCGAGAGCAAGCCATGCTTGCAGCAGCTGAACAGCTGCAATTTCACTGATGAAAAAAAGTAGGAAAACATTGGAAAACAACGAGTTTTCAACGGAAAACATTTAATGTAGGGTAGCCTACTTTAAAGAACGGATGCACCAATGATGTTGCTTATGACTTTTGGTGACTGCATGTGTTCCCAGCCACCCCCATGGGTCACCAAGCACCAAGCACCAAGGCCGGCGCGCGCGTCAAAGAATTACAGCGCATCGACGCAGAGAACCAGCGGCTCCTGAAGCGTTTGCAGAGTGAGCCCAGCTGGGACCATGATCGACGTCGATGGCAGTTGGGTGATATCATGGTGTCATGGTGATACCATGATATCATGCATCTAAATGGCGCAGCATATTTGGGCATACATTTCTGCACATGGAAAGTTGGTGAATCACCTTAGAATGCTGATGACTGGGAGATATCATGTCATATCCCAGGAATCGTCTCAGGTTTAAAAGAGCCTAGGAATCCACGCTCCAACCATTTACCAATTTCAGGGATCATCCCGCATGGTGGTGTCGATGTTTCAAGGTTGTTCTTGACATTTCTTGACCAATGGATTCGACAGGCTAGTTGCCACATGCCAGGCACCAAAGCAGCGGTGAACATGTCTAAGTTTGAAAAGGACCACCAGGTGTGCCTGCTGCGCAGACGCAAGATGCGTTACTTTCATTTACTTTCCATATATGGAAGTGACATATGTGACATGAAGTCCAAAATGATTTATAAATATTACATACTCTCCACTTGGAAACTCAATGCGTTCACATGTTTTGCTGCGTCTAGTTGGGGGGAAAGAATTGTGGAAGTCGATGCGTGCGGCGTCCAGCTTGTGTTTGGAAAACATGATTTTGATTATTGATACTTTTACCTGCATTTTTGCATGTTTGGAATTTACCTAATGTGTCAGTTCCATTGGGAATTGGATTGTGTTGGGTTTTGCCCTTTTGAAATTTGGAGATGTGATTGTGTTGAAATGATGAGGGGGATTGGTGGCGAGGGGTTCTTTTTTTCCATTTTAGGGTATCGCCGGGGTATCGCCAGAGTATCACCGGAAATACGTGAGTTGTCTTGCCTGGTCTTGTCTTGTCGCTGCTGCTGCTACTGCTGCTACTGCTGCTGGTTCTGCTGGTCCTGCTGCTGCTGTTGCTGCTGCATACCTTCCCACTACCGAGTTGCGTGCGCCACAAGGGGCACACGCAGCAGTCGTCACTGGCCGGGCGATCGGGGAGGCAACAGCCCTGCGTGCTTGAGGCCAACGGCCAACGCTCGCCTTGTCGGGCATTGTTTGGACTGCATCCGTCCTTGCACCTGTATCTTTGGTATTCTTTGGTTGGTCGCTCCACTTTGACTGTAGTTGTGGTGAAACTTGCGTCCCATTGCGTTTTTCAACAAAATCATTCAAAATAATATAAAATAATGACGGCATAGATGCAGCGTCCACAATATGATTCCTAATTTTAGAGTCATAAAAAGCACCGAACATTAAACAAAATAGATGATTGCTGGCGTACAGCGTCCCATGCTAATTTACATTAAATTGCACTGACTTCTCTGACTTCCCGAATGCGCGGCGTCCCATGGTGATTTGTGTTTCAAAGAGACGGTGCACTGACTTTCCCGATTGGGTGTAAATGCTCACCTGACACCAGGTCATCCACTATTGGGTAAACGGAGAGTGGTCGGGCAACATGGCGAATTATGTCATAATATACAAAGAATGCTCAATCATGAGTTATAAGGAGCACACTCTTGACCCTCCAGCACGCATGCAGGTACAGCAGCGCTACATGAAGATGCATTGTGAGCACCCCAAGGCCGATAGGCTGCAAGTGGCTAAGCATGCTAGCAATTGTTATAGATGTTAGCGAGCTGGCTAGAGAACTTGGGCATTCAGGTTGGGCGTCAACTAGCCAAGTAGCCTCATTAGCCAATTCACTTGTGATGATTGACAAGAACTCAGAGCAAAGTGGTTGCATTTGGGCCTCAATGGAGGTGGTGAGAAAGCTCACTTTGTTGTTTTTCTTTAAATGTCGCACCAGTGCCAGGAGGATTGGCTTCTTGTTGGCCTGGCCTGTACCTTTGGAGGGTCGGATTCACTCTCAAACTATGGGACTCAAGGTTCAGACATTATGAACATATTATGGCAATAAATCATAGTCATGGTAAATCTAGCTGAATCTAGCTATGTAATGTTGTCAAACTTGTACAGCCTTCCAAAAGTGACATGCCTTTTGCCTCGGACCGTGCCGTGTACTGCAGAATTGATATTTTGGCCGCACTTCAAAGCTTGCGATGATGCAAAAGCGAACAGTTGCGGAACCATCTTGGGGTGAGTTGGGTTTAGATGTTACAAGTTACAAGTGTATATAATATATATATATATATACGTGTATATATATATATATACAGTACACATATACAACACCATTGTAGTGGGGTTACTAGCCAAACTTTGGGATCTTATAATGCAATCCTTTATAATCGTAACTGCACCCCCAAGAGATAGTTCAATCTGCCTGAAGTCATGGAAAATGTGAGCCAGGAGAGGGCACAGCAGCAATCCCTGTTGGCTGCGCAGATGGCCGTCGCTGGGCAGTGAGGGTCATGAAGGGTTACGGATGGAAAGGCATTGCCTTGCGTTCTTGGAATAACCCAGAAACACAGGGCCGTATGGAAAAATCATGAAAATTCAAAGCACGGCTCTATGACCTGCATTTTCGGCACTGATGTGCAGCGATTCAGATGGGCCTACTGTCATGTGCAGCATGTTGGGATAGGTTCAAGATCGTTCATGTGGGTCCTATAGGTCCGTGCTGCCTCTCGCGCTCTGCCTCCACCGGTCGGCTAGCCGAGTAGTTGAGGGTGGTGATCGCACATGAGGTTTGATGAAATTTGATGCCTTGTATGTGAACATGATTCTATAAAAGTCTTTATAATGTCTTTATATCTTCTGCACAAGAAAGCAGATGCCGGAGCAAGAATTGCAAGCATTGCATTGACTATCAACCACTTACTAAACTTCAGATGATGCTCGAGAGCGAGCATGTTGCAGTATTTTACATGCATTTGACCAGATGATTTGCGTCATTTGAGTCCTTGCTGAGCCTCGCCATCAAAATTGGGGTAAATTATGAATCAATCCATCGTCACCCAGGTTTCCAAAGAGCCACCGGGCCCAACGGATGCCGAATGCTGGAAGCTCAGCTGTTGCAGCATGTTGCAGCCACAAGGGACTATGCGGACTATGGGCATAAATCTACGGGCCTTGAATTACTGTGGCTTTTTGAGAAGTGTCATCTATTTGCAGATTAGATTAGATAGATTGTCAAAGTGGTTTTGGCATGTCTTGACATGCTTTTGCGAATGACAAGTACTGTATTGCACTCCCTTTTTCAGCCATTTGCGCAAGTCAAATCCGTCTATCATCGTGTTGAGTCTTCCCACCATGGCATCCTCATCAAGTCGGAGCCTAAAAAAAGCTTGTTTGGGCTTGTTTGCTTATGATGCTTGCTGTTAGATGATGCGGGATAGATGCACTTTGCTAGAACTGGGATGGTGTCACCGACTGTGCCCACTCTGTAGTATTTGCTTGTATTTGCTTCATATCATGTTGTCGCAACTTATGTCTTATGTTATTTGGTGAGAGTCAACTCCAACTTGTGCAGTTCTGGCATGCTTCTGAGGCAGGAAAGTCCGCACCACCGCGGATGCTCCCATGCCTCCTGATGAGGCTCTGAAGCTCTTGAAGGAGGGCAACGCACGCTTCATCAAGGGAGAGCCTACGGCAACTCGAACCAACGAGAAGATGCGCCTGGAGCTTGTTGACATGGGACAGGCACCACACACTGCAATCATTGGCTGTGCGGATTCCCGGGCACCTCTCGAGACCATCTTTGATGCCCTGCCTGGTGACATCTTTGTGCTGCGCAATGCTGGCAACACCTGCACCCACGCCGAGGGCAGCATGGTTGGCAGCTTGGAGTTCTGCACCGGCAAGCTGGGTGCCCGCATGATTTTGGTGCTTGGCCATACCAAGTGCGGTGCTGTCTATGGTGCCACTAACGCCTACCTGGCGGCAAAGAAATCTGAGACCGCCAGTGTTGAGTCTGCCTTGGAGGGTCTGCTGTTGGACTTGGCCCCAGTGGCGGAGAAGGCCGTGGCCGACATGGGTTCCCACACTGATGCAGATGAGGTCGCAGCCCACGCTGTGCGCGTGAACGTCTTCCACACTATCGACTTCTTGCTGAAGTACAGCGCCCCATTGCGGGAGAAGGTTAAGAGTGGACAGGTCGAGATCCAGGGTGGCATCTATCACCTGGACTCTGGAAAGGTGGAGTTCATGGGACGTTCTCCACAGCAGTCCACCCTTTTGAGCACCAATCTTGGGCTTCCTCCATCCATGACTCGTGAGGGTGGCCGCACCTCTGGCTATGGCCCTTCCGCACGAGGTGAGCATGGAGTGCGCACCACTGTGGACAGTGCAGTTCCAGCTGAGGAAGCTTTGAAGATGCTGAAGGCTGGCAACGAGCGCTTTGCTGTGGGTGCTCCTTTGGCCAAGCACGCCACTCTCAAGATGCGTGAAGCTTTGGTGAGCCACGGGCAGGCACCCCACACCGCTATTCTGGGCTGTGCAGATTCCCGTGTGCCAGTTGACACTGTGTTCGATGCCATGCCAGGTGACTTGTTTGTCTTGAGGAACGCAGGCAACACTTGCACCCATGCGGAAGGCAGCATGGTTGGCAGCTTGGAGTTCTGCTGTGGCAAGTTGGGCTCCAAGTTGATTTTGGTGATGGGCCACACCAAGTGCGGAGCCATTGCCGGAGCTACTGCGACCTACCTTGCCAGCAAGGAAGGCAAGGCCTCCAAGAGTGCAGGCAGTGCACTTGAGGGTTTGCTGGTGGGTTTGTCTGGCGTCGCAAAGCAGGCCGAAGAGGAGCTTGGTGTTGGCGCCGATCAGGACCAGTTGGTGTCCCACTCTGTGCGCGTGAACGTCTTTAGCTCCATTGAGTTCTTGTTGAAGTACAGCCCATCCCTCAGGGAGCTTGTGAAGAGCGGCAACGTGGAAATCCAGGGAAGTATCTACCATCTGGAGACTGGTCGAGTTGAGTTCCTTGGCCGCTCCCCCAGGCAGGCTGAATTGCTCCGCTCCGACCCAAGCTTGCCACCATCCCTCCAGGCATTGCCCATCCGCACAACAACTGATGGTCCCTTGCCATCCCAAGAGGCATTGAAGCTGCTGAAGGAGGGCAATGCGCGCTTCACCTCTGGTGCTGCCATTTCAGGAAAGATCACTCCAGCAATGAGGAAAGCCCTGGTCAAAGAGGGTCAGGCACCCCACACTGCTATCATTGGCTGTGCGGATTCCCGTGCTCCTTTGGAGACTGTGTTTGATGCCATGCCTGGTGACATTTTCGTGTTGCGCAATGCTGGCAACACCTGCACCCACGCCGAAGGCAGCGTACTTGGCAGCTTGGAGTTCTGCGTTGCAGCCCTGCAGTCCAAGATGGTCTTGGTGCTCGGACACACAGCCTGCGGAGCCATCAAGGGTGCCACGGCAACATACTTGCAGTCCAAGACCGGCAACAAGCCTCAGGCGGAAATACTTCAACTTTCTCCCAAAGAAAAAAATGTCAGATTTAGTACAGACAGACACGTCAATATATATATATATATATATGAATGTATATATAGAACTAGTATGCATATATTATATGCAATATATATATATATACAATATATATATATATATTCACAATATATATATACATGTATACTAGTTCTACTCATGATTGCACATGATTATACATAATTCTACATGCAGTACTTTATCATAGTATTCCTCCGTTTTGAAGGAAAAGGTGCCGTCCATTTTGGCAAAGCCATGCTTGATATTCTTGATCTACTTTGTTCTCACTGAGCCAACGCAAGAAATGTAGAGCACAAAGAGAATCGAAGAGATGCGTTAAAGAAATCTAGAACAGCTAAAAGATGCTAGGCGTCTTCCGTGGAATCCTAGGCAGGACCTTCGCATGCCCTAGCCAGGTCACCAAAGCCTTGGATGCCTTGCTGGTTGGCCTCAGCGACGTGGCAAAAAAGGCGTCGGAGGAGTTGGGCGAAGGCGCAACGGAGGCGCAGATCGTGGACAGGACCATCAAGCTGTTTCTTGGCAAGCAATGTGAAAGCAACCGTATCAAGTTCCCGATGTTCCATGAAATCTTGGGATGCCTTAGAAACCATGGCACATCAGAAATATTCTGCAACATCAAAATTGGTATTGGCTTCGTTTTTATCAGTATATAATTAGGCCTTATTGATAGTACTTGTATATTGATAGTAATGTCAAGACATGTTTTTGCCAAGAAAGATCTATCTACCTATGCCGCAGAATCAGGATGCCATTTTTGATCATTTTTTAGAGGAGCCAGGATCCTCTGTATCATCAAGCCTTCTGCAAGGAACGTTTTCCACACCATTGACTTCCTTTTGCAGTACAGCCCACTCGTGAGAGAGAAGGCGGGCTGAACGACGTTGACATATTTATTTCATATTGTGACCACTGCAGATGCGGTAGCTATGGTAGTTTTAATATGCCACATCTAGACTCACAACGGCCAGAGCTCACAGACTGCTCCTGCTTTGCTGACTCATACAGAAGCACCGCTCTGTTGATGCGGTTTGTTGGCACCTAGTGAATTTGGATGCATTCGGTACCTTCCATATCATCCGTGACATTCGGCCTGCTGCAAGGTTGCTGCAGGCGAGGTTGAGATCCAGGGCGGCATCTACGACCTGGAGACCGGTCATGTGGAGTTCTTGGGTCAGAGCCCAGCTCAGGCCACCTTGGTGAAATCTGCTTCCACTTTGCCCCCATCGTTGGCATGATTGCAACCCCTTCACTAAGTGTGGGGTTCTCTCGCTCACATGCAGCGTGCACGGCCAATGCTCGGTATCACCAGATGTTAGATAGGTTTTTCTTGCCAAAATGTCTCAACATTTTCAGGCTGTGCGATTAGCACGGGCTCAACGATGTAGACATATGCAGACAACCGGAGTCTGTATCGACTTTCTCAAGCTGCAGAACCTGCAGCTCCTGGTTCTTGCTGCAACTCCAGTTGCAGCAGGGCATACCAGAAACCCGCAACTCTGCGATGAAAGAACGCGCAATAGTCTGCAGGTTTGCTTAGCTTGATTCCGAGCTTGCGATTGACGTCAATTGGCCAAGTGGTGAGCAGGGCAGTACAATCTTCAGAACACCTCAGCAATCGATTCAGAGCGCAGTTCATTGGCGATTATTCTCCATTTAAATCCAAAGGGAATGCTTTTTGGGGCTGGAAATCTAGCTGCAGGGACCATGGGCATCTATGTATGCACATGTATGCGCCTTGAATCACTGAGGTTTTTGAGAAGCGTCATCTAGTTGCAGAAAGAATTAAGTTGTTTTCAGTTCGTTATAGGGCTAATATAGGGATTTTTGTGCTACTTGTAACTCCAGGCCGGTTCAAGATACGGCATAGGCAAGGACCTGCTGATGCGAACCCCGAGCATGACGCAATGCGTTGAGGTCAGAGGATACTTCGCCTCCAGGCATCTCCAACCTGTACTTTGTTCCAAAGCATTTTCAAGATGACCAACTGCAAGCATTGGATGATGTGGTGATGTGATCGTGGGTCGCCACGATGATAGCACCCTGAATTGTGGAAGCTCTGAATGAGACCACACCACTGTCATTTGTGCAGCTACCGCAGCTGAATTATTGGCTTCTTGAGGTAAGTGACGTAGGCAGGTCCCCCATGGCCCGGAGGGGTGGAAGCATAGGGAGGACTGACGTCGTCAGCTAGTCTTGTTGTGCCAAGTGGATTGTGTGCCGTGCGTACCGCCCGCGCGTGCCGACGCACAGGTCTAGATGCATTTAGAACAAATCAGCAGCCAAATTACACCCGGAACCACCCTAAATATCCCTAAATGCAATTTTTTGGGCTGGCAAATTGCATCTGGCACCGTCTTTGTAATCTCTGCGACGAGACCCCGGGGTGAGTGGTTTCCCTCTAGAACCATGCCTTTACGAGCCGGAGACTCTTCCCCGTGCTGTGCCACCAATGCACGTTGCGCATGGAAGGTCAAGATGAGCCATGTTTGTTCCAAAGAAACTGAAAACCAAGTCTTTGGATTCTTTGGGGGATACGCCAAATTACACCTGGAACCTCCCTCAATGCACTTTTGGGGGCTGACAAATTGCATCTGGCACCGTCCCCGTAACGTCAGACGACGAAAACTGATTGAAAAATCGAAAGGAAAAGATGAAGTTTGTTGAAACTGTGTGTCACATCCTAATTAGGTAGCAGGGACGGGCCTATTTCAGCACCTTTGCCTACATGTTCTTAAAACAGCACCAAAAAATCATCAGGGATTCTGATTGGTATTCGATTACTTTACAAAGACAAGTAAGTAGTATGGTGTCCCGAAAATGTTGTTTGCCCCGGTAAAAACGGCAAGAGGTAGTAGGGGCGGACCTATTTTAGCATATTTGCCTAAATGCTTTTAAAACCAACCAAAAAAAAACATCAGGGATTCTTAGTAGTTTTCCAGTTGTAACCATATCTTCTGTACATATTGTTTAAGCCGCTATATGCATACAATATATTTTCCATCTTAAATTATCATGAACATCCTTGCCCGGCCCGCGTGCCGAACACGCGTGACGAACGCAGCGTTCTGCGTGCTGCGTGGCGGGGCGCCTAAGCTAAGGGTGTTGCATGGTGTTGCCCCCTTGATCCACTACCAGTTACTACCTGTTTGTCAGGATAATGGACCACTCCGCCATGGTCATGCCAGTATGATAGTGGGAAATAGTCAAATAGTGAGAAATATTGAAGTAATGTGGGTAAACCATTCCCAAATGGGTGGTTTAATATGGTTTTACCATGTTTTACCCACATTAATGAGAAGATATGGTGAGTTTCTGAAGGTTTGGTCCTCGCCTGCGAGGACGAGCAAGGCAAAGGCAAAGCCGAAGGTGGCACCGACTCGTGCTCCCAATCGGCCTAGTGCTCGTGCATCAGCGCCAAGCCGTGCACAGGCGGGTGATGTTGGCACAACTTGACTAAGCCGTTTCCAGACGATTCGTTGACTGTTTCAAACTCTGACTTTGATCAATTTGCAGCATCAGTCTTGATTAGTCTTGACTTACACGCATTTGGCTTTTTGAAATATTAAAAACATGTCAATGTACGGAATAACATTGGCATTATATATTATATAAATTATATATGTGCACATTTAGATAGATAGATAGATAGGTAGGTAGGTAGGTAGATAGGTAGATAGGTAGATAGGTAGATAGATAGATAGGTAGATAGATAGGTAGGTAGGTAGGTAGGTAGATAGGTAGATAGGTAGATAGGTAGATAGGTAGATAGATAGATAGGTAGATAGGTAGGTAGGTAGGTAGATAGGTAGATAGGTAGATAGGCAGATAGGTAGGTAGGTATATAGGTATATAGGTGAATAAGGATAGATCACAGGTCATAATCACAATAGATATATAAATTATATTAAATTATCAAATGTGTATTTCCATGTAAACACCCACCATGCATCACCATACCATTAAAAATCGATATCCAAAGGGCGCAGCGCAGCACCTGGATATCGCTGTTGTCAGGCATCCCGGGCTGCTCCTGGAGCCAAGCGGGGTATCTTGGTGTCCCATCATCGCAAGGCACATCTTTGGATGTGGAAACGAATGTAATGATAATCTAATGATAATCTAATGATAATGTAATGTATTGTCCTTCATAAGCAATGCAAACTTTGTTGTTTGCCGCGAATTTTGTATTTGGCGGAGTTTTTATGGGCCAGTTGTTCGTCATAGCCTTTTGAAGGACCAGTCCCTCTCTTTGTTGGGCCTTTTTTTTGCCATGAAGATGGCAGAACGCGAGCGAAAGTGTCGAGAGCGTCCAATAAGAATAAGGGCAGTTGAAAGATGCTAAATTGCAAGGGCCAAAACAATGGTTGACCATCTTGGATATTCTTGGATACTTTTCACATCTGTTCAATATTTTTCGCTGATTTTAGATGGTTCCCCCAATGGTTAGCACATCCCCCAAGAAAGCGAGCGACGCGTCGGCAGGATCCTGGGAGATGAGGTGCGTGAAATACCAGAGCTGCAGCTACAGACCAAGCTGACAGCAAATTTCTGAATATGATACAACACTTATATATTATCATATGTTCTCATATAGTATCTTATATCATCATATATTATCAGTATCATATATTGTCATTTATTATCATATATTATCATGTGTTATCATATATTACCGTATTTTATCATATATTGTCATATGTTATCATATTTTATCATATATTATCATATGTTCTCATATATTGTCATATATTGTCATATATAATATATTATCATATCTTATCATATGTGATCATTTAGTATCATATATTATCAGATATATATATATATAATCATATGTTATCATATGATATCATATGTTATCATATGATATCATATGTTGTCACGTGTTATCATATATTATCATGTATTATCATAAATATTATCACATATTATTCTGCATTATCATGTATTATCATATGTTATCATGTATTATCATCTATCATATTATCATATATTTTCAATTATTATCATTTATTATCAGTTATTATCATATAGTATCATAAGTTTTCATATGTTATCATATATTATCGCATATTATCGTTGTCTATAGGTTATCATTATCATTTCATTATCCATTTATTATGATTAACTATTTTAACTATGTCATGTTTCTGCCTTTCGCATCCAACCAAGCTGCTATGCCTTCTGTGTGACTCAGGATCTGTGAAGCGAAAAGCAGAGGAAGCCAACCTAGGAGCAGATCACTGGCACGACTTCGACGAGAATTGCGAATCTGAGGCGACCGAGGCTGGGCTACAAATGGGATATAGTAACCCAGTCAGGAGACTTATTAGCCAAGGTTTTTGACCTTATTAACTAATGATAATGGATACGTGGGATGATCCTCCAAGTAATTTGATAAGTTGAGATCAGGCTCCGCGCACTGCCGCAGGAGTCATGGGATCCCACTGGTTGTGAAGCAGAGGATGTCTCCGACGCAGAGAGCGAGGACCGGAGGGTGAAACCGCCAGGAAGCTAAGTAGGTGAAAATTGAAGGACTCGGAGATAGTCTGAGGTCCCGTTCTTTTCGCAAAGCTTCGCACTGTCACGCACTGTGTCGATTAAAATTGTGCCAAGGCCAGTGGGTGCGTTTCCGTCATATGTGTGCATATATATACATATATATATATATTTGTGTACAAAACACTGTGCATATGCAGGTATAACCGTATGTACAGAGTAAGCCGAACAGCTTGGAGACCCTGAAGTCGGTCACACATAAATCCTTTACATGTATTGGCGCAGCTTTGCAAAGGAGATGGCAGATCCTAGTCGAAGTCGTCCCTTTGCTGCACAGCATTTTCACGAGAGAGTTCGGTGGATAAGGCAATGTTGCGTCAGGGTTTCGACCCAATATTGAGCGCCAGATCCATTTTTGAGATGATTTACCAGTGCCTCGCTGTTCAAGTTACTAGCACTGTGTAACCCCAAAATCCATCTATTATCAATTATCCATAATTATCCCTTATTTGTTATATATCTATAGACCATTATCTATCTGTCAATTTTTGCCATATTTTACTATTAATCCCTTCCTCCTAATACTAAACCCCCCCCCCCTCCCCCCCCTAATACAAAACACGGCAAGTAGTTTTTAGTATTAGGGGGGTATTTATTATTAGGGAACCAAAATATTGCCAAAAATGGCAGTTCGAAGCTTACCCCTAATACTAAATTAAAACCCTTAATAATAAAAACCATTTTTTCCGATCTCAAAATCAATTAAATTTCCTTATATAACGCAATTAAAATATTGCCAAAAATGGCAGTTCGAAGCTTACCCCTAATACTAAATTAAAACCCTTAATACTAAAAACTATTTTTTCCGATCTCAAAATCAATTAAATTTCCTTATATAACGCAATTAAAATATTGCCAAAAATGGCAGTTCGAAGCTTACCCCTAATACTAAATTAAAACCCTTAATACTAAAAACTATTTTTTCCGATCTCAAAATCAATTAAATTTCCTTATATAACGCAATTAAAATATTGCCAAAAATGGCAGTTCGAAGCTTACCCCTAATACTAAATTAAAACCCTTAATACTAAAAACTATTTTTTCCGATCTCAAAATCAATTAAATTTCCTTATATAACGCAATTAAAATATTGCCAAAAATGGCAGTTCGAAGCTTACCCCTAATTGCTAGAGTAGCCAGGCAGCTTGGAGTAAGGGATTGGGACTAGGCCCCCCTAATACTAAACACCCCGGGGTGAACTAGTTTTTAGTATTGGGGGGGAGAACCCACAAATGGTAGGTTGATTTTTAAATTGTTTTTTAAAGGGGATCAATTAAAAGTCAAATTGGCCAAACTGAAATTTTCGGAAATTGGAGATGGATGCCCGTTTTTAGTATTAGGGGGACGTTTAGTATTAGGAGGAAGGGATTATAGATTATTTTTTTCTATTATATATTTGTTAGATATCTCCATTATTTGTTATGTATCTTTATTGTTATATCTATTATCTCAATTATCAATGAGCTCCAAGGCCATGGGCCCTCAGAGGCTGATCGTGTTTATGCAGAGCTGATCCGAAACGGTGCCACACCGGCCATCGTTGGAAAGCAACGAAAAGATGCTCGGTGGCACTGGGAGGCGAAGATCCTTGAAGTTAGCAGTGTGGCAGGTCGAAAAAATGGATCGTAAACTGAATAAACCACGATTAACCCCAGGTAGATGTCTAACAGGCAATATTAATGGGTATATTACTGGGTGGGGTTTCTCATTGGGTTTGTCACATCAAATGGGTAGCAACCCCTTCTGCCCTAGCATTTGTTCGTTCGAGGGTCATCAGGGGGAAAGATTCAGTGCTTACACATCTACAGTATGCTACAGTAGTTTCAAGGACAAAACCTACAGGAAAATATAGAGGGCAACTAAATTCCAACAAATCTGGATTAATTTGACCACCTGAAGCTTCAAATCCTTCAAACATTATCAGAAAATAAAAGGGATTTAATCTATTTTAAGCAAATTTATCCAAGTTTATCCAATTTTAAATTTCCTTGACTTCTGCCCAGTGCCCAGTGGAACTGTTTGATTTCCTGCTTTTCCTGTATTGCCACCAAAAATGCGTACCTTTACCCCAAAAGGGACCGTTTTTTACAACAGATTTATCAGGACTTTAAGCAAAAATAAATATCCCTTGTTTTTTCCTGGATATTTTTTCTTTGATAGTTGCAGCTGTATTTACACACAGGCGTGACTAGGTATTTCCTGTTGTGACCGCTTGATGTCAGCACTGCCCAAACTACGACCTTCACAAGAGGTCTTGACAGTGGGTAGCATTTCCAGATATTGATCATGGGCCTGGGCAAATTTTAGGCTCATCCCCAAAGCTTTTATAATATATATATATATATATACATATATACATACATGTATGTGCATACATATATATATATATATATATACGTGCATATATATATATATAACTATATATATAATTATATATATATATGTGTGTTCTCGGGAAAGATCAGAAAGCATTGCAGCCTGAAAGATGGGAACTCTGCCAAAACAACCTTCAAGTCTATATAATTGTGATAAGATTAGAGTTTCCCTTGATTTTAGGGCTCTTTTGATGACATTGAAGGTGTTGTTTAATAGCGTTTTACATTTGACGCGTCGCGAGATCAGTGAGCGGCTCCCAGCGCAGGTTGGGAAGGAGCAGCCTGAGATGGAACTCTTTACCCCAGCAGCTGCTGTGAAAGCAGGTCTGATCTCCGACCCTGCGGAGGCAGGGGAGTGACAAGTTCCTGGTGCCTGGGAAACATGGATTGATCATAAGATAAGAATTAGCTCATTGGGCCATACCATCAACTCACACAATATCATACAATATTTATGATGATCGGATATAACATGTATATATATATGTACATATTGTGTATGTTTGTGTGGAATATAACTGCACATATAATATATCCGGTAGTATATCCGGTGCTTTCATGTTCAATGATCATGATTCTTTCACGATGTGGACTGCGGCTACTGGCCATGCCAGTTGGGCAGTTTGTTCTGACGTTTGTTCTGCCATTCGTTGCAGGTAGGATTGGTCTAGTGTGGTGCCATGATTCCAGCAATTGAGAAGTCACTAGAGCCCGAAACACCGTTGCGTGGTACAACAACGAGTAGATAGATGCCACGACATTTCATTTGCCACATCCAGGGGCGAAGACATCGGCAATCTTTCGGGTTTCCTTTCGGTCGCTCCGCTGCAAATCAATGGGCAGCTCCTTGAGTCTACTGAAGCACCGATTGCAACCCTAGGTGTTAGTTTAGTGTTGTTTTATTTCTATTACCAGTTGGCAGATAACTGAGCAAATCAAACTTGCGCGTGTGAACTTTGTGCCATTCAGCAATCATTGCAAAGAGCTACCGGGACTTTCAGTAAATAGTGATTTTGTAGCATAATTTGTATGCATGAAATCGTCCGAATGTGATCGTTATGGCTTGTCGTGATTTCTCACTACCGTCAATAGCCCTTGTAAAGGCAACCTCTTCAGATTCTGATGGTTTTCTGAGTTTTCTGCCGGTGAGCCTTCACCATGTGGACCTCAAAAGGAGGTCGAGAAAGCATTTGGATAAGACCATGAGATTTGCTGCACATTTTTCATCCGTGAGCCAAATGAGGAAGAACAATCCCTTCCCCCTATTACTAAACGTCCATCTCCAATTTCCGAAAATTTCAGATTGGCCAATTTGACTTTTAATTGATCCCTTTTAGAAAACAATTTAAAAATAGAGCTACCATTTGTGGGTTTTGCCCCCTAAATACTAAAAACTAGTTCACCCCGGGGCCCCGGGGTGTTTAATATTAGGGTCCGTCCGATTTTTTTTAGTTTAATATATTAGGGCTTTTAATTTCTTATTAGGGCCCACTTCGAAAACCACTTTTTGGCAATATGTTAATTGCGTTATAAGGCGTTATATAAGAAATTTTAATTGATTTTGAAATCGGAAAAAAATCGTTTTTATTATTAAGGGTTAAATTTTATTAATATAAGAAAATTTAATTGATGTTGAAATCGGAAAAAAATGTTTTTATTATTAAGGGTTTAATTTTATTAATAGGGTCCGCTTCGAAATCCAATTTTTGGCAATATTTTAATTGCGTTATATAAGGAAAATTAATTGATGTTGAAATCGAACAAACTAGTTTTTATTATTAAGGGTTTAATTTTATTAATAGGGTCCGCTTCGAAATCCAATTTTTAGCAATATTTTAATTGCGTTATATAAGGAAATTAAATTGATTTTGAGATCGGAAAAACTAGTTTTTATTATTAAGGGTTTAATTTTATTAATAGGGTTCCCTAATAATAAATACCCTAATACTAAAAACTACCTGAGGTGTTTTTTTTTATAAGGGGGGAGTGTTAGTATTAGGGGGAAAGGATTATTTGTTCAAACCCGGTGTAACAGAGCCTTGGCAATGTTGTTCTGACAATCTTTTGGTATCTTTAGTGCTGGCAAGTCTTTCACAGGGCCTTTTGATCGGTGTTTCACTGCGATTCCATTTTGCACATGCGAGTCCTGTCCGACCATCGGTCCACAGCCTGTGGTTCTGCTGTGTCGTGAATCACGACTCGGAGACGGTTTTAGTCAGCTGCCCCAGGCGCAAGCCTTGTGCCCTGGTGGCTAGCACTGACACACCACCAATGTTCATCACTGATTCATGCCCAATGGGCCAAAATAATGGTCACAATCTAGTCGATGAACTTGGAACCCACCGACTTTGGGTCCTGTTCCCCCAAAAACACTGTGGTAATGTTTCTGTAAGTCAGGGCCAGCAACCAAGAGCCATGGCTGCGCTAGAGATTAGAAAGATCAAAAGACCAGCTATTGGGGGCTGCCTGACCTGCGCAAAAATTGGTGCTAGTATGTGCTGGTGTTTTTTGCAAGGTTGAAGATGTTGAAGGAAATTTCTGACAGAGGTGACATGTCACGTACAGCTTCATGAGAAGAAACCATGCTGTGTTTGATGATGTTGGATTATGATAGATTATGTCATTATATTATCATATATTATCATTATATGTTAATAATCATGATATAATAGATATATCATAATATTGTCATTATATTACCATATATTATCATTATAGTATCATTATATGTCATTATGTTGAACCGATTCTCAACGTTCGCCAGGACAGTCTTCGAAAGCGTGCTGCTGGCGAAGGGGATGAGTTGGATGAGTTGGATCAGGCAGCCTGCTATGGTTGTCGCAGCCCAACCATAAAGCTGGGTCCAACCCATGGCTCTTTGGAACCAGGGAAGTGCCATGGCACTTCGGTGTGCCAAATGGAGTTGAAACATGTCGAAACATGTTGAAACGAATTCTCTGAATCTATGACCCGGTGCCGTCCTGTGGCCCTGTAGGACATGAATTTGGAGCAGGACCTGGAGGAGGTGACTCAAGAAGGAGCCGATGGTAGCCGATGCGTTTGACATGTGGCCATCTCGAATCATGCTTCCCAAAAATGTTGATGTAGAGAATGTGTGCAGGGGACGTTCTTTTCCTTATCCTTTTTGTTTGTCATTGAGTCATTGCTATCATGCAGCAGTAGACTTTCACAGCCCCAACTAGCTTGGAAGCACCTTCTAAAGCCTTATTTGGTGCTGCACAGATTGCAAGGAAAAGTGGGGCCGCGTGGAAAACCCAAAGCGGCCAGGACCTCTTGAAGAGAGGCCGGTACGGCCGAAGCCCAAGCTCATTGTCGGGGCCTCAGAAATTGCGGTCATTTTAGCAAGAGAGTAATCGGGAAACCAGTGATTGATAGGAAAATCCATCAGATCTTTCCATGTTTGATCTGTTTTGATTGTTGACTTTTTCTTCAAGTCCACCGTGCACACAGTGCAACGTGGAGCATGTAGGAGTGCAAGAGTTTTTGCGCACAACAGCAGTTAGCAAGTTTTAGCAACGGCATTGATAACTGACTCAGCCCATTGGGCGAATTGAGGGATGCACTGTGCTGTCAAGTGTTGGGTAGTGACACTATTGTTGAGACGTATCGCCGGGATATCGCCGATATCTTATATCGCTAGTGGAGACTGGAAGTGGGCACACAATGTCATCAGCAGAGTTTTTCGTGAAATTTGCTGAACTGAGTTGAACTGAGTGCCGTTTTTCATGGCCTTGGCATCGTGTTCGCTGCAGGGCGAACATGCTGGCTTTCTACCTGACAGCTCACATAGCCTGGTGGAGCAGTTGATGGCTGGGGCATCTCAGCGGGGCCGCATTAAAAGCCATGGATACAGATTGTCCGCGCGTTGTTTCGGAGGCAAATGATTTGAACAAAATCCGAGGTTTCTCTGAGGTTTGTCCAAAACCGGTTGTACTAGTAGATGAATGGAAAACCGGTTGATTTTCGAAAGCCACATCTTTCATGTGGGAAAACGAACGTCCATGCGAAACCCAACAGGAGGGACAGCATTGAGGCCCAGATGTCAGATCTCGCAAAAACTGTGCACGCTGAGTGCACCATTGATGCTACAAGGCACAGTATGCTCAACTCCAAGAAGAGGCTGGTCAGCCATGGTCAGCCAGATGGCCAGAAACATGCTGCCCTTTACCAAGCCCACAGGTGTCACCAACTGATTTAAATATGTTGAATCCATTTGAATCCCAGCTTGTCAAGTTTGTTTTTCATCTGAAGTAAACACAGCATACTTGATATACTTGTGAAGCAGGGCCTGCGGACGATATCCAGCACCCAGGAGGAAGAGGACACTGAAGCTGCCGTTGCAGAAGCCAAGGCAAGGTCTCCATAAGGGTCCGAAGCAGCAAATTCTGCAATCAGATTCCACTTTACTGCTACTTTGGGTGGAATGTAAACCCTCAGGCCAGTAATTTTTCAACAGATCCAATGTTGATTTCTTGAGACGACTCGATTATGATGTGTGATACATTTTGATACACTTCCAGGTTCAAATTGGGATGTTCTGTAGAATGGTTGTATTTTGGCAGTGTTGTGCATCATTTGCTTTGCCCTGTTTGCCCCAATTCATTCCATGTCAATCAGTGACCTTTCCAGTTTTACGTTTGCATTTGCTTTTGCCAGATGATGCCAGATGTATTTGCTTTCATTTCAGGGACTTTCCAAAGGATGAATCGTGCCCGGGGGAGGACACACCTTGCACATAGCATTGTGAGGCAGCTGCCAATGCTGCTTTCCGGAAGGCATGCATGTGCAGTTGTCCACTGCTTTCCAGGGTTTCAGGGCTTACCATGTTGCATGACTTGGTGTTGGAGCTCAACATAGCCATTGAATGTCATTTGTAGCATCATTAAACATACAGTAATTAGATCCCCGTGGCAATTTCCACTCTAGAACTGGTGAACCTGTGCATAGTTTAAACGGTTTGTTTAATGTATTGGAATTTTAAAATTGATGTCAGGCTAGTCATTTTATTGTTGGGGGGTTGGTCTGAGCATTTTATTGGCAAGGTAAATCCTGATGAGTTTTAACATGTTAAAATTCCATTCTCATTTTATTGCAAACAAAAGTCTGTTTGGAGCATTTTATTGCAGAATGGAACCAATGCTTTTCCAGGATCTTTTTATATCGATTTTATTGGTCGTGTCATTTTAGATCAGCGAATTTTAAGGAATTCTAAGGAATTTTAAGGAATATTGAGGAATTTTAAAAGAATTATAAGGAATATTAAGGAATTTTAAAGGAACTATAAGGAAATTTAAGGAATTTAGAGAGTTTTAAGGAATTTTAAGGAATCTTAGGGGAATTTAAGGAATTTAAAGGAATTTGACGGAATTTGAAGGAATTTGGAGGATTTTTAAGGATCTTTAATGTTTTTAATTTTTAAAGGATATTTAATGATTTTTAAGGAGTTTTTTGGAATTTTACGGAATTTAAAGGATTTTTAAGGAATTTTAAGGAATTGCCACGAAAGAATGCCACCGTATTTTGTTGCTATAAAATGCTATAAAAAAAGAAAACACTTAATTTTTGGGCACCTTCACTCTAAAATATCCCTATCTAAAAAGAATTTCCTGACCCCTTTTTAAAGAGGCGTTTCTGAGGGTCTTCGAAATTGGATGAAGTTGGATGCAAAATCGGGCATGAATTTGCTGGCAAGGCATTTTATTGCAGAACCAGTTTTCATTGTTTTTGTGCATTTTAAAGCCTGAGGCCCTATGCACAAAAGTTAGACCGCTCTAAAACTCCTGCACAGCTTCACATAATGAAATGGAACCTACATGTAATTAGCATGTCACCTTAGTCACAGTACATTAGCACATTGATGACATAGCACCACAAGGTGTCTTTGGAAGCGCTGCTTAAATAGGCAGTGAGCAGTTTCTGCATATCGTTGCCTTGGCCAATGAGAACCATATTGATGTGGTGTCTTTGACCAGAGGCCATGAAGGCAATGAAGGCCATGAAGGGCATGAAATTTATTGCTGACTTAATGGCCATCAATACAAGACTAGGTGATAGATCCATGTTCCAAATCCTACATCCTTGATAGAGATTCAAATATCATCG